TCTGTGTTTTCAGGCGATCCTAGCACCTTTGAGCCTTCTGTTTCTGGTGAGGTCGGAGCCCATAAGAAGATCCTTGCCAAGGCTTCAGGTCGTCACAGAAAGGCCCCGAACAACTTTAAAGGTGCCCCGACTGCCTCGGTCAACATCATCCCTTTTGACCCGATGACACCACGAGCGGGCCGATTCGCTATGACTTCGGGCGTTCAGGCGATGGAGCGGCATGAATGAAATGACGAAATTGCAAACGAACTACCCGAGCAAACAAAAAACCAGCAGTCTTTCCGTCCTTCCAGGGCGAAAGTTTCAGTAGATGGACGAACCACGCGAGTCGGCCCCTCCTGAATTGGCAGATCAGCTACTGTCAAAGAAGGAAAGCGCACGGGAGGAAGCTCGAGTGGCGGAGGAGTTTCCGATCGATATCGCGGAGGCGTAGATGAACGACTCCACCGATTTTACGAGGGATCTAGCCGACCAATTGCTTTTCGTCGCAAGCCATGCCAAGGAGCCCGACATGGACAGTGGAGGCATGGACGGCACGGGAGTTGAAGTGGGAGGTGACATGGCTGGCATTCTTACGACCGATACGATGGATCAAGTGAGATTCGACCCCCCTGACGAGACATCTCAAAGTACCCCTGATCAAACTATGGGAAGAATGACAAATATGACAGCGTACAATTTGGGCTATGGCCTGGCAGGGGCTACCTTCGATCAACAACAAAATAACCCGGTTCTGAAGAATGGCGCGGCTAATACAGTACAGCATTCTGAGACGGTTCGGCGAATATTCTGTCAGGAAATATGTGTAAGATGCACCCAAATATCGACACCCAGGAGCCCGTCATTAATTTCCGGTCTTCGCTGGGCATGACAGGCGACTCCCATCCAGAGCTTGTCCTGCATTGGGGGCTCATAGACCTTTGACTTGTTTCTTTTCTATGCACGCTCATGACCTTAGTTTCCAGAACTTTCCGCGCGGTGGAGGTCCTCAGGCCCCCAAAGTGCACCTAACGCGGCAATTCCCGAGCCTGTGCTGAATTAGTCACTCTATTGGTCCCAATGAGGATCTTCAGTAATATGGTGGAGCGTGCGTACAAGAGCAAAATAAACTGCCGCAGGAGACAGGCACTTAAACTATCAGTTTTCTTTTTTGTAAGGGAGAGGCAAGCGCTATTAATGCTTTTCACTCCATTTGTGCCAGCGAATCGTGATTCCGATGCATTGATGCGTTATTCAATATAAAACAAATATAAATAGAAAAAGGCAGCGTACTGCGATAGAAAACGGCAACGTTTTCAACTATGCCATTCATTATTTTAACGAGGTCAAACCAGTGATGTCGTGATCGCTGTTGGTGATGCATTCGGCCATCATATGCTGTGCATGATGATCACGCCACGGTCACCCAGGTTCATGCCATTTCCGTTTTTACCGTTTCCTGTAGAACGGATCATGAGTACATGTGCCCTGACTGTTTGGCACGAATGTGAATGCGATGGTACACGGCGAATCCGTCCAGTCATTCGCCGGAACAAAGCCGGTTGAACGACCAAGTGTGACAATCTACAACAGCAGAATTGCAAAAGAGTTCAACACCAGTTTCATAAGTCACAAAAACCTAGTCATTTCCAGATTGCACCGTGACGTAACCGGGGTTACGAGCCGTGCTTATTGACCGCGCACGTGCTCTCATGCGTTCACAGCGGCTCAGCAGAATCGGCGCAGGCCACAGTGCCTTTTGACGCCAGTGAGTGCGGGCCACCGAAGGCGTTCCGTCGCCTGCTGGTGACCAGCGCGCTCGGCGGGCGCGGCGGCGTGACACAGTCCGCTATTCGTCAAGCCAAAGGGCACGACCGGCACGCAATGTCGGCTCACGCCTGGCTGACGGCTCCAGCACCAGCGGCCGAGACGGCGTCACGCCCCGGCGCGCCCGCGGCCGGCGCCTGCGGGTATCTCCTGCGCGAGAGGTGCCCTGGAGGAATTTAGTCGCACGGCAACGCTGGCGGCGATGTTTCCGGGAATGGCGGCCATCCCGGCGCGGGCGCCGGTGCTGGTGGGGAGGTCGGCGGCGGGGAGTCGTCTTCTGCCGATGACGAGGAACGCGCAGACGACCGCAATGCCGATAAATCCATCGGGCCTTCGGTGAAGCCCCGGCCCAAGCGGCTGACCGACGGTAGCAGGAAGCAGATCAACGTTCTCATTCTGCAGTGATCGCACTGACGGATCAACGGCTCTCCAACATGCTCGTGAATGCACGCTTCCAAGATGCGTCGGTTCGCTGAGCGCGATCTGATTCCCATTTGCAGCGCTGCTCGCACAGCTTTCATCTGCCGCGCAGCCGTGAAACTAAGCCGGCAGCCGGCCAGTGCGCTCCTTGCTCTAGCCGGATGGTCATGCCGTCAGGCACAATCGGGGCAAACTTCTTTTCAGACGAGCTGCGGCTGCATGCGCCGTGGATGAGGACCAGAAAGTGGCTGCACGCAACATCAGGCACTCTTGAGGCGGGGGTAGGCGTCTCGAGAGCAGCTTTGTCCTGATTTCGTTACCTATCATTCCGTATGAGGAGGCAATTTGTATTACACTTTCTCCTATTAACCTATGCAGATTAGTCCTGCAGTGAGAATCTGTGCTCATGTGATGCATGGTTGAGGAGGGCGGCCGCTTCCATATTCGGTATTCCACGAACCCGGAATAACGTGTTTTTTTTCAGCAGTGGCGGGTCCACGGCCTTTAAAAGTTGGTCCATTTGTCCCCCTCGAAGATTTTTCAGATGGACGAGTAGATCTTTTCGTCTCCTGGGCAGATGCGGGGTCTTCTGCTCAATCCTCGAATTTGGTTCGCCAAAAGTACCTCTTTGATATACATAATAAGATTTAATCTGTCAACCTGGTGGAACCACCCAGTCTCTCCAATCGGGCCTTTATGACCGACGGTGCTTCCTGTGTTTTGTCATGGATCTGCTGGGTATCTGACGGGACCTCCTTCAGATCAGCTGGTCGGCTGACCTGCCTCCTACTGACCAGGGTGGCCTGATGCTCACCATCTAGAGTCTCAAGCGCAAGACATTTTTGCAAGCCTTAACAGGGTGTTCCACGTTTGCATGGGGTGTTGAGCTGAAATAGCCATTGTAGGTATAGCCATCAGTCGGTGTAGTTCACAGCGCACACTTCTTGAAGAAAATGTTCCACATTTGAAGATGTTGAAGCAAGCATCAGAATCTTTATTATAGGACCTCACTGATAACTTTTGGTTTACCTTTCAGTACTCCAGGCAACACGACTTCGTCCTTTTGATGAATATGCTCCTCGGTACGTCATTGGCTACGAGATCGTGCCTTGTACAACATTGATTAAAAGTCAATCGACAGCCGTCATAAATGGAAGTCGTGCCAACAAACGCCACATATGAACGACTCGACAATTGCATTTTCTTGGTCTTGATCACCTGGCTGACGAAATGACAGAATTTGAGTGGCATTACTTTGGCGTAACGGATGACTGGGTGACCTTGCAAAAGTCTCCCCGAAATAGTGTGCACATATCTGCGGGCGTGTAGGTAAGAACCTAGGGAGGGTTAGGTCTTGAGAGCAGGACTGTGAACTGCAGTGAATGGCCTTCAAGATGGCTATTTCACTTCAAAGCCCCATACAAATGTGGAACACCTCCGTTAAGGAGGCAGGGTTCTGGACTGCACGGAATGGTCTTCAGGATGGTTTTTCAGTTCAAAACCCCATACAAATGTGAGCCACTCCCTTTAATCGGCCTCCTTTTTATCTAAAGGAAAATGCTGTCTTGATCACCCGGCCCTTCCTGCCTGTATAATCGAGCCTCTTAACATTGTAAGGGGTTGTAAGGGGAAAACATTGTGTATGCCCATTAGGAAATACAAGGGGTCGGCTGCCACCCTCTCTCCTAGAAGCACCGTTCTTGTTCTGTGTGCTTAACGCAATACAGCATAAGTATGCGATCCAAAAATACACGCAAGGGGCTCCCGCGATACATTTTGTGCTGAAATATTTCTGGTGAACGCAACCAAAATATGTAAACACTTTGGCTTCAATTTAATCAAGTGGCCAGATACCGTAATATTTCAAGCATATTCTGACAATTGCCTGGGATACTAGGATGCGTCCTGACGTAGTACAGTAGCAATGCACTGAAATCTCGGAGGTCGGAACGCCACCATCCGGTGCCTTTACATATCACATAAATAGCGGACGGGCGTGCGATGCCTGTCCGGAGCCAGCAGAAGTTTTGGAAGACTCGAACTTATCGGTATTGTTAGGCAGTGGTGAACGAGTTCTAAGGGATATGGACTGACCGCTTCAGATTGGGATCAACCACAACAGCTCCGGACGTCTGTGACGGGAAGGAAAAGTTCCCGCACCAAGCGAAAACGGTCACATAGGACAGACGCGTGACGCGTCCGTGTGATGATCTGTGTGATACTGATCGATGTGATGATGATCATGACACATGTCTGTCGTCATGCGTGATGCCGGCATGTGTCTCGGCCTGCCGCATTGTGGGTGAAGTGAAGGATCAGTGGGGGTCTCACGGATCGCACCCGATGTTGGCTCACGGTGTTGGCAAAGCCCGACCACATCAAGGCGACATACCCATCGCGCAAACCGTGCAGGGGCTTCACCCGAAGAAAACAATGTACTGCACCCTCATTCATTATAGTCTATGTAAATGCATCACAACGTACCGCATCCTCATTCATTACAGTGGATGTCGAGAGGCCTCGGACAAGGAAGTCACTCGCTGCCACTTGAATACAACTCTCGAGGAGCTACGTCCTATGCCAAAATATCCTTCAGACTACGGCCCGGCGTGTCCGATCGAAGTAGACCAGAGCAGCATCGATATTGTGGGAAAATGGCAGGGATCCTGACCACGCACCACTGAAATTCACCTGGCTCTTCAGTCTGGACAGTCCAACGAAGGGCTGACAGGGCCAATGCAATATGCATTTTACACGCAAAATGTATTAATAACTTTATACACGCAGTGTATAGCAAAGCATTGCAGTATGATACAATGATCTCCACCTGAGCTGGGCGACATTCTGGATATGAGGACTAACGATGAGGAAAAGTAACCATATAAAATGTTATGATGGACAGGACACTCAAAATAACCTTCCATTGGGCCTGACATCCAGGATTCATTCATGACGAAGGCTGCAAACCGCCGATGAGAACTGCAACGATAAACGTCAAACTTGGCCTTTGCCGACCAGCAGAACAGTCCACAGCAATTAGACACCACCACGGACTACGGCAAACACCGGCACCCACGCGCAAGGCGCTAACGCGAAATGGCGACCCCGTTTGGTTTAGTTCCAGCAATGCGTTGATTGTGCGCTACGGGAAGTGGTAAACACGGCTCATAGTTCAGCCAAAGCACCGTAATGCACAACACCGCCCAATGATCATTTCAAGCAAGGACACTTATGGTAAAACCCTGCCGCTTGACCATGTGCGTATGCGGCACCCCCATTGGTACAACCAGTATTTTCTAACAAGCCTCGTCTGTGAGCTGATGAGACGAGCAGGTACTTTACACAGATGATGTTTCTACTGCAAGGCTGGGATCAGACTGGGATAACACAGCTCCAAGGTCCGTGACAGCACAGCTGGCCCAGCTCCAAGCTCCGTGACAACACAGCTGGCACAGCTTCGAGCTCCGTGACAACACAGCTGGTCCAGATCCGAACTCCGTGACAACACAGCTGGCACAGCTTCGAGCTCCGTGACAACACAGCTGGCACAGCTCCGAGCTCCGTGACAGCACAGCTGGCCTGGCTCTGAGCTCCGTGACAGCACAGCTGGCACAGCTCTGAGCTCCGTGACAACACAGCTGGCCTGGCGCTGAGCTCCGTGACAACACAGCTGGCCCAGCTCAGAGTTCCGTGACAACACAGCTGGCACAGCTCCGGGCTCCGTGACAGAACAGCTGTAGCATCTATCTGCTGTTTTCATCTTTTTAGGCGTGCTACACAGCTGGCCTGGCTCTGAGCTCCGTGACAACACAGCTGGCCCAGCTCCGAGCTCCGTCACAACACAGCTGGCCCAGCTCCGAGCTCTGAGCCCCGTGAATGTGGCTGCGACAGCCAGCGGCACCTTCACCATGCACCGTCCGCGTGTGGACCGTGGACATCGCTCACACCAAAATAACTACAAATGCTCCTCCAAACAGCCTGCCTGACTTCCAGCTGCTTCCTGGACCACCACGTGTCTCGGCAGCACCAGCATATCACAAAACCAGACCTGGCAGCCCTAGGGCTCGTCCGGCCTGAGCACGAACATCAGCACTGCGTACAGGCCACGCGGCATGCCGTGCTGCCGCCTGGTGGCCACAACGCGAAGCTGGGCGTCCGCGAAGATTGTCTCCAACAGGGCGCGCGGTCTCGTGACGCTCGAGTCGGCCGCGTCGTACTCCGACTGGTCGCCCGTGGCCACGTTCTCCTTCACGACAATCACACCGTCGGCGCGCAGGCCTCGGCTGTGGGCAACGACGGGAGTGGCCTGGGGAGGAATTGCTGGGGAAGGCGGTTGCCTTGATGCGCCGTGCCTTTTAGACGCAAATGAAAAAAAAGAATGCGAAGGATGCATTGAAATCCATCTTAAAACACTCTCAGAGTGGAGGTGACCTCATTCCCCAGTGGTCGCATGCTCTCATATCTTGCGAATGCTGTCACATTGGTTCCAAATGGAACAAAAGTTCGCACTATGTTCTTGACTCAACATAGCAGCACAAATCGCGCTCGTCATTGGCGCTGTGTGACGGGTTTGCCTGGTCGCCAGTGATCACGCGTAACGACAAGAAACCAGACTGAGCCGTAATCAGATTATGATTCCTAGTTCAAAGACGGCAGCCGCACCATCACCAGAACAGGGAATGGAGGTACGACATCTAAAGAGAGGCAACACGGCCGGTCTCATAATCCACTCACCGACATCCGACGAAAAACTGCACCAGGTCCTCGTCAGTCAGGTGACCCAACACCCACTGACACCAGATGACGTCATATGAGTTCTCCTCAGGGCTGAACTCCTGCAGGCCTGGCGGCCAGGGAATGGCAAATTACACGTGGCTCAGTGCATTAGCGTTTCCATGGCGATGACAGGCTACACCAGGCATGCGTCACGACTTCGATCCGGACGCGACTTTGCCGGCTTTTAAAAGCACGAGGATATGTGATCACAAGAAGAGAAAAACAGTGAGATCCTTTGACAGAACTCTAAGGCTGGAGCGGCGCATACAACGCACAGATAGCCTGCCTGTACAGGGGTTCCAGAAATGCGGTGGAGGGGATACCCCCAGCCAGCCTGTCGCGCAGTTCCAGCTTCAGGGCTATGGAAACAGAAGATATTAAAACAGGAATGCCGTCCCAGTCTTGGGTCGATTCTTGGCATGTGACGCCGCAGTTAATGCAGGATTTGTGATGAGTGAAGTGTGTGGGGCGGGGGGGGGGGCAGTAATCCCCTTTATATAAGCCAACTGTTTCTTCTACCCTGTGAGTGGAGTTGCACGCCAACAGTTCTATAGAACAAAACCTCACCATGTTCTACGATCAGTTCACACTCATCAACGCAGCGCATTCGCGCAACCAACAAGAGGCCTGCCCCCGGAGATTCGCAAAGCCCGTCGTAAGGTCCAGCGTCTCATGGAAGCACGAGGAAGAAACGATGCAGAATGACATTGGCCCCGACGCGCGAACGGTAGTAGCTCTGCTCTGCGGAGCCCGAAGTAACTTGCGCAGGACTACGGCGGGCAATGCGCAGGACTATGGCGGGCAATGCGCAGGACCATGGCGGGCAATGCGCAGGACCACGGCGGGCAATGCACAGGACTATGGCGGGCAATGCGCAGGACTATGGCGGGCAAGTGTAATCTATGACTCAAACATGCGCGGAAAAGGCTGCTCTGCAGATTAAAGATCTTGAAAGACAGATAATGTTAGCACTTAAAGTGAGCCGCAAGGCATAGTGTAAGGCCCATGAAGGGGTGCCGGTATTGTAGTGGTTAACGCGTCTGCGTTAGCCACTGCACGTCTGGGAAACCAGAGGTACGGGGTTCGATTCCCCGTGGTGCCAGCCCTTCCGGCCAGGGTGAGAGGCAGGCGACGCCATATAGCCTCAGCAGCTGGGTGCGTCGTAAAACCCCAATGGCATGACATGACAAACCCATGAACTTGATGGGGGCTACTAAACAGTAGGAACTAAACAGTAGGTGGTAAGAAATCCGTGGTCCACATGAACATCGGTTGGACTGTCAAACAATCTGACAGCAAACGTACAGCGCTCGAAAAGGGCTATTCTAGCTTTATGCAGAGCATGCTCGGGCACGTGCTGCAGCACATGCGTCTTGGAGGCCGCCATACGGTCGTGATAAAAGTCCAAGCTCTCCAAGCGGTTTCAGGCTATCCGCTACCATATACGAACACAGTCAAAAACATGCATCAGAACACCCGTTACCCAGCCCATGCTGAAGATAAAACCAGCTGATTCTATGAAGAACGCCTAGCAGCGCCCCGTCTCATCCTCACCGGCACAGATGAGCTGGCCAACGTGCTCGTTGTCGCGCAGCGTCTCGCGCGCAGCCTCCACGAACTTTGGGCACTGCTCGACGGCGTCCACGGTATGGAAGCGGCGCGAGAGCAGCAGGCGCGTGACGCGGCCGATGCCGGCGCCGCAGTCCAGGGCTCGCTGGCGTCCCGGCGGCCGCGCCCACTGCCGGCAGTGGTGCGCCACCCTCAGTGGTGGTCCACCGCGCGAGAAGTCGTGTCGCTCCGGAGCATCGCACGCTGCTGGGCTAATTTGTAGTAAAATAAATGCGTGTAATAATATTCACAATGTGCCTGGTATCACAATGCGATCCATTTTTCTAAAAGGTTACGCGGTGCACATCGCCAGGCAGCCTTTCGTGGTGGCTTGGAGACTGCGGCCGCCATCTGAGCGCCCAGACGCCGTAGCGCCCGCCGGCAACTGAATCCGGGCAGGGCATGGTGGTGCTGGCGACTCTTGAAGGGAGTGTTCCACATTTTTATGGGGTTTAAAACTGAAACAGCCATCTTGAAAACCTTTCGGTGCTGTTCACAATCCTGCCCTTCTAAAGACCTACGCCCCTCGAGGTTCTGAGCTACACACCCGCACAAAATGGGGAAACGTATATCGGGAGAGTATTCCAAAGCCACCTTAGCATTCATGATGTCATAAGAACTTCATTCAAATCCTGCCATTCTATGAGCCATGCGGCGATCACGACCAAGAATTATGTAATTGTAATTGTTATATATTAATAACAAAAATGAGTGCAGTTGTTACGGTGTTCATGCCTGGCATTCGTGAGGAAGATTTCTAGCTAGGAAAGGCCGTCAAATGGCTCTAAATCAATGGTGTGCAAGGTACAATGATGTAATCAAACCATGATGCAATAAGGGGCACTTTTACTGAACAGATAATTGTGCTGTCTATAGTAGTCTTTTGCACTCACAAAGCATATCAATAGTTATATGTGAGCCTGTTTCATCATATTTGATGCTTACTTAAATATCTTCCAATTAAAAATATGCTCCTTTATTATGCCATGGTTAGGTGGTAATTCCTATATACGAGCCCAGGCCAAGTGCACACGCAATTCAATGTCTGCGGACCTGACCCCATTGTAGGTTGAAGTATGATGTGACTTGCTGATGATGTCATAATTTGCACACCATTACAAGTGCCAGCCTGCACAGGAAAAGGCATGCTCTGTGGACATGTATGTGTGTAATTGCAACTAATTCATGAAACAAGAACACTTGTGAACACTCTGTCATTCCTTAACATGAGACAAACTACAGAGACTAGAACAAGTTAAACTACAGGCTTGTTGGCAGTGGTTAAATGGCCCATTTCACTGGTGCAGTGGTTAAAGGGTCCATTTTGTTGGAATGGTGTTTAAAGGGTCTGTTTTGTTGGCACAGTGGTTAATGGGATCTGTTTCCACATGTAGGTGGTGTCAGTTTGGCCTGGGGCACCTTCCACCAGTGGCTTTACCCCAGTATCACCACCCAGGCTAGTGGCAACATGTTTTGGAATAGTTTGATTTTCATGGCACAGATCACTTGGTTGACAGCCAGTGTTTAAACAACAAGCTTGCCTTAGTGGTACCTTGGAAATACATGGCACAGTAGTGCGTGGGAGACAAGTTGTGCAAACAGACAGTTCATGCAAACATGGCAATGATATAGACATGCATACAAACAGTAGATGTTATACCACAGATTCTAGAATCCCTTACCTTCCAGATGGTGTTGAGGAGGTCATCAGAAGTCTTGATATCAATGTGTGACACATGACCCAGTCCTCCAAGCATGCCATTGAGTGATGCAGGCACACTGGACCAATAGCTTGCTGCTTTGGTGTAACTGATCAAACTGTTGGGATCTTGTGCACACTCTCCTTCACAACCACTATTTAGTTCTGGTTGTCCACCGGGATTTTCATGGGTGCCGTTGTTTGTTACAGGTTTGTCATTCATCTTTAGTCATAAGGTTGCCACACCTGGAAAACGTGGCGATGAAATTAAACTGAGCATCAAATCAGTTACTTGTGGTCATAAGAACCACCATGCTATAAGATGACAGGTTCAACCACAAAAACAATATATGTATAAAATAATTTTGCACCCTTCCTATTCACTCCAAGTAGCAATGTTATGTCACTAATATGCAGTATATCAATTTAAGTCATTGCACAAGGAGCAAAAGTGAGTCAATGTTAAGTGTGCTATGGTAAGACTGCCTGCAATAACTCTTGGTCTTCAGCCTCTCAGCCACAGGTGCAGCAGATTGAATTAGGGGACCAGAAACAAAGTAAAATAGCAACACAACCCACACAGGAAGTTACAACCACTTTGCTCTTGCACTCCTTGGCCCAATCAAAACATGTAAAAAACACAATATTTTTGTGGCTCTATTTGTAATGGTAAAAACAGGTTTCAATCATAAAAAACATTGTGGCATCATCCATTTCTTTAAGTAGGTAACCTCAAATCTTGGTACTTTGCCCAGCCTTGAACTCTTAACTTGATCCGGCATAAGACATTCTCACAGTGGATGGTAGACAGAGTTTGCTTGGGCAATAACAACTACATAGGTTTTAATATCACCTTATGTCACATTTTCTTGCCAGGGAGGCAAAACTATTTGGTACAGATTATAGAGTTAGCTTATTGCACAGCTTGGGTCATATCTACAGAATAGTCAGTGTTCACATGGTACGGCACCACAAGGGAAAATACAGCATTTATAGGAACTGTCATTTGAGAGGAGCACCTAAACGTGAGATGAACTGAGTTGAAACAGTGCAAGTAATACAAAATATGTTGCACACGCTCAGCAGCGTTTTTCCATCCGTCTCGCATTGCTCCGCACGACCAGGAAAACACAACAAAAATATTTAGATAATTCCCATAAAATAACCTTTCCAATGTACGCAACGCGCACATGCACCGACTGTTCGCGCGTCAACTTATAGCACACCGTCGAACGTCAACTACGTCGCTTCACGTCATTGGCGCGCCGTATATGCAGGTTTGGCAGGATGGCTGCCATCACAAATTCTCTAACACTGCCGAAATTCCCTACAGCTACCAGTGTTGTCTAAAGGACACCTTACGGAGGTTGTAATCCAGGAAATTGACGCCCACAACCCAGAAAATTGTTTTTGGTTCACTTAGTTAATTGACTCTTACGCACAGCCTCTAACCAATATGACATGAGGGTTACAAAGCTTGTAGGTATGTTTTCCGACACTCGCACCCGTAGCTCAGTCGGGTCGACGCGCTACTAATACCAAAATATCATACCGTAGCTCGGTCGATTACAGCTGTCTCGCTGAGATGCCCTTCAGGCTTCATCCGGTGAGGTGGCCTAGCAAAGGGGAAGATTTCGATGAGCATTTGACTCCTTCCCCTGGAGTTGGCGGAGACGCCCTGAGGGGGAATATTTCATAACCTTTTGGGAGCTAAGGTACTTCTAAAGCAGGCTCTCGAATATCCGTCTTAGCGCGGATTCAGAAAGCTCATAATCTCAAAACGAGGCCCTGAGTGACGAAGAGCGGTTGCCATGCTGGAAGGGCCCTATGATCTAATTTCCCCGCCTAAACGATATCTTAGTCGCGTCACTGGGCCAGTGACAGCGGGTCGCAGAAAGTTTGATTAGGTCAGAGTGCCAGGCGGGTTATGCTGAATGTTGCGACACGTTCAACTTTCGCCTCAAAGTTCTACCCTTGAGTCAGAAAAGCCTAGTCAGATTGCAACGTCAGGACTCACACCACAGGCATTGCTTTGCGTAAGCTCTGACCTCATAAATCCGTCCTGCCTTAAAAGGTTCGGACGCAATGCATATATTTTAAAATATATTAATTAATCTCTTATTGTACATTAAATCGCACTGAAAAAAATCGTGGAAAAACAGCTTTGTCGCAGTGGCAAGAAGCATGTGCGTTGTTTTATGTTATAGTAGATGGATACTCTAGCTCAGCTGCAGATACGCTTATTAATATTGTACATCTTCGGCGAAGCTATAACCTCCCCTCATTTACTCCATTTAGAGGTCATGAAGCACGCAAATGAAATCAAAACAGAAATGAACATAAAAAACACAAATGAGCGACATATGTCCGGTCGAACCGAGACCGCCGGGTACTATCACTTCACACGACGGCTTGGGTGTTGAAAGTATGTCCTGCTTCAGGATTAAATTGTCGGATCTGAAAAACAATAATGTGGCAATTGATAGCCCTAGTCGATCCAACCTAGAATCGATAATTTGGGACCGGTCAGTGGCCGTTGACGTCATATTTCGTGCGAAAAATACCAAATTGTTACTCTGGACGACAAAAGCTGTTTTCCGTAAAATTTCATAATTTGTCAATTTGTCTCGCACCAAAAATGAACATATTCCTGCAAGTCTGAATCATGCCGCAATTTTCGCAAAGACGAACTTCAAGTTTCGGTCATGTCAAAGTCAAGTCAGTTTTAAGCCCGTCAGCTCACAGCGTGTGATTTGTGTGTTGTTCCGTCACTCATCAGTGATAATTGCATTAGTCTGGAAACGTCATGGTTATACCCACGGACATGCTCATTACTAATGTATCGACACCAATATGATGCAAGACAGATGCCAGACTTTTATGCATTAAGTTGTTGTACGAGCTTCATGTTAGCTGAATTGAGCCAAATGTGGTAACATCAACAACAGGTGTTTGGGGGTTTCTTAAGGCTTTTATGCGGACCGTTAACAAACGAGAGGTTCTAGGCAATCTGCTTCAAATGAGAAGGGGCTCCTTAACAATTTGGGTCGTTCTCAACCACCATCCTCATCCTCAGCGATTTGTGTCATGAAAACAAGGCTCGCTACCAAACACCAGGATCAGCAACAGAACGATGACGTCATCATTTTCCTTTTCGTTGCCATCCGCGAAATCGCCGTGTCACTTACCAGTCCTTTCTGCTGGAGCAGCTGTCTATTTTTATTCTAGTTACCTGTCTATTGTCTATATGCTTATATGTCTATTCTAGTTACCCATCTTATGCTCCTCGATAAGATTATCTTCCACACGCGGTTTGATTGCACAGTGCCTGTATCAAGAGGGTTAAAGGTGGCTTGTTACATTACGCTCGGAATCTGCGTAGCGAATGTTTCGGTAGTAATTGCGATGCAGCTGCTTGGAATCACTTCCATCTGCAAGAAGGAAACGAGTGATACAGCGCGAGCGCAGTAACTACGGTGGTTAGCCTGTATTGCAGCATATGTATGCTTGCATATTCATGAATTTAAGTCGCAACTTTACCTGCTATAGGTGTGCAACCAACAAGTGATCAACGAGTCAGCGAAGCTTAACTGTGAACTAAACAACCTCTCAAGTAACCATGCATACAGTCGATCTTAGAAAGCTTTGAACGCGCAGGTGTCCAAAAAATCAACGAAACTTAACAGCGCACCAAACAGCTCTCAAGTGACCACGCACATCGATCGGTCTCAGAACGTCTTGAACGCGCACTTGTCTAGAGTTAAGCTGATGGCCCGCTGTTACCAGTGTCCCGAAGGCTGAGGTAGTTGTGTCCGCTGTCAACTGCTGAACGTTACGAACGAATGTGTGGCTTCATTCATTGGAATGGGTTACAATTCCCCAAGGTGGGTTTGCAGTTGTGTTTTGGACACTGATGTAATGTTTTCTGATATTGCGCGCAGTGTATGCACGCTGATCACCGCTTAATCGGTGTTTGTTGTCATTTTGGCCGGGTATTTAATTATCTTCTTTCAAAAAAAACAAAAAACATAACGCAATGCAAAAAACGTTACATTATTTTATTTTGCATGGAGTAGTGCAATATAGCTTACGCAGAATACATGATGTTATAATAACTGATTGTAGCTCACACCCCATGAGTATCTTACTCGTTGTACTGAAGTGCACATTACGTCAAGGGGTTGTCTTACTGAGGAGAAGTATCAAAAAGCTGGCCGCGCAGATGGAGTCGGACTTGCATAACCTAGTTTCATGCATGCAAGCTCAAGTTTCTTCCTGAGCAGTGGCACTGTATGGACGTATCCCAGATATACAGGTCACGCCAACGGTCGGAACGAACAGTTCCACCCGATCAAGTGTTCCGTAGTGTAGATTTAAGCATCCGCAGACCGGACGTGTATTGCAATGAATAAATAGGGCAAACTCTCAAGCAATTCCAAAAAATATCGTCAGCGCGAATGAATTCAAAAGTTAAGGGGCCTGCTACTAAGGAGAAAACAAGAAGCGCGTTCTATGGCAATATAGCCTTTGTCATTTGACTTTTCCCGCACTAAGAGGTCTTCTCTGATCATATCTTCTGTATTTAATCCATCCATTAACCATAAGTCGTGCACATACCCTCCCGCCAATTATTCCCAATCAGTTGCACCCGCTCGTTTCCCACCAATTTGTAGTTTTCCAGCGCTTTAGTTTAAAGTCATGAAAGCACATCGGGAAAATATGCACCCAAAGTTATCCGTTTGCGTTCATTTTCGCAAAAGCAGTGTTAATGAAGGTAGGTGTGACTAAAAGAAACGTTTCTGGCAATAACTGCTCAATATTTCGGAGTAAATGCCCGATATCTTATAAACGTCTTACCCATATTCGTAGTTTTCCCCAAGTTTTGTGCCCAACCCAACTCGTTACTAACTCCATATGGGTGTCAACGGGCCTATTCGCCCCGTGAAACTTTCTTACCAGACTTCATTCCCTTTCATTTTACTGACAAGCAAACTAGATGTTCAAGCAAAAAAGCAAACTAGGTATTGGCAAACTAAACTAGGTGTTAGAGCGATGCATTGAGACAGACTTGGACATAGAACCCTAGAAAAAGCCTGTATCCGGACCCAGGATCTCATTGACATGAAACCCTTGGGATTCCAGATTCACCTTGGGATCCGGACACATGTGTGCAGCGACGGCAGTAGGAGCGGGCCTTAGCAGAAACAATGGGTTGCACAGAATCAACGTCTTTGGACAAAAACATGACAAAAATGCTTCACATTTATTTCCAGATCAAAGCGAGATAGACGCAAGCCTTAGGACAAGTATCCGGCTTCGAAGGACACGTATGGTAGCGCGGCTGTGTCCAGCACGCACCCGACATCCATTTCCTGGTTTTGTGACACGGAAAGCTGCGCGATTGTATTCCTAGCCCACAAGACAGATGCGCTGCCATTTATCACCGCCCGCCAGCGGGCGATTTACTGATTGTCCCGATTGCGCCAGTGCGATCGAGAGCTCATTAAATGGCGCTGGTATCGATCCGCCGAGGGTCCATCTTTTGGGCGGCGCTGGGGGAGCTGGTCCACTCTACAATATGGACGGAAGTTATCGACCCGAACCGCACTCGTTTCAACCAGAGTGTCTGGATCACAATACAGTTCGCTAGGAGTAATGTGTGGCAATTGGATGAGATTGTCGTTGATTGACGATGCCATCTCAGCGGGGCGGTAGCCATAGTTACTCGCGGCCGATGAACGGCAGACATGAGCTTGGAACGCGGCAGGCTTGTGCCCGATACACGTGTGACTGTTTTTGACTTGAATGAAATATAGATTTCTACAAGGGCTCACGTGTGAATAAAAATTTAGCGAAAAGTACATGCATTTCCGCGAACCACGGACTCGTGGTTCGGACTCGGACAGAAATGCAGGTTGATGACCACAAGCTCGGAGTCATCTCAACACTCCAGTGATGCTCAGGGGAGGTCGCGGTGACAACTGACTCAGCGCGCTGTGAGTCAGACGCTGAGTCGAGCGCGCGCCTGCGTCGTGCAGTGACACGGGACTGCTGACGGCCGGTTACAGAGGCACCACCTTCTCCGCCGAACCAGCGGAGGCGGCTGTTCGTGGACGGTCGATTCCTTGAAAATGCCTAGTTATGGCTGACTCAGCTCTGAAAATCGGCAGTGCTTGCCATCCATCCGCAAGCTCCGCAGGGGCCGAGGGTCAAGCG